GAAATTTGAATTCAGCTCGCTAATTCCGTTTTAAGCTTTTTTAACTGTTAGTCAACCCGAAAGGGAAGAAATATTAATAAAAAAAAAAAAAATTATAATTACTGGTAATGCTCTTTATGTAAGAAATTTGAATATTCTTTAGTACACTGTTAATTTGGATATCGACTTTTTGAATTCACTTTTTGATCCTCTTTAAGGAATGAAGTAACTAGAAAAAGAAAATAGGCCACAATCCTAGTAAAACTAAATGAATTTACAAAATTAAAAATTGAGTGTCAGATTTCTTGTTGTTTATGGTGGTAATGAGGGGAATACCACGTGTCTATTTTGAACCAATCAGAACAAATTGTTTAATTAAGTTACGCCTTTTTTTTCTTCATCGTTTGCAATTTAGAGGGTAAGGTCGAAAATCAATAAAAGATCTCAAGTGTTTTCTTCTTTTTTTTCGTTGAAAATTTATTAACCACTTTTCTACAACACAAATTCATGATATTTTTTTTATTAAGAAATCCACGTATGTAAAAATCCGATGTAGTCATCTAAAAGTAACACAGTGAATCGAATAAGTAATTAATTTAACGAAGAGGCGTGATTTTCACATGACTTGGTTCCTGAAATGGAAACTCTTCTTAGAATATTCTGACATAATGGCCAGCGAAGGATGAGACACGAAATGTAGTTTTGGTGAGTGAAAAAAAAAAGACAAAAAAGTACTATTTGTTACCAATATGAAACAAAAACGGTCATCATGTTTCTTGCAACAAGTAACCTGTTGAGAGTGGACGACAAATTCTGATTTAAGAGACATTTTAAAGAAATCAAAAACCAATTACTCTTTCTGAATATTCTTTGAATGTCACCAGTATTGGATAAAAGCAAATGGAAGCTCCTGGGATAGAAAACTTGTGAGGCTCAAACTTAATAAAATATAATCAACAGAAACTTGACCATGTGTTTTTATCTACACTTAAAATCACTGCTTCATAAAAATTTCCAAAATTTAAACATTCTGAAATAAAATCAAGTATGTTATCTTCTTGAAATACAATGATACACGCTAAAACATTCTTTTCTTTGCTTTGCTTCTTGCAAAGTCAAGAGTTTGTCATATTGATATAATTCCATTTATGAAACGATTTAAAAGTTATAACATCGAGAATGTTAAAATCATTGCTTTATAAAATATTGAGGGGCCCTAGACTACCGCCTATCCCGGCCTAAAGGATAATCCGGCCCTTGGTCCTAGGCTATATAATATTCTAAAGGATAATCCGGCCCTGGATTCTAGGTTGCAGCCTATATACTATTCTAAAGGATAATCTAAATTCTATGGCCCTGGATTCTAGGTTGCAGCCTATATACTATTCTAAAGGATAATCCGGCCCTGGATTCTATGTTGCTGCCTATATACTATTCTAAAGGATAATCCGGCCCTGGATTCTCGGCTGAAGCCTATATACTATTCTAAAGAGGGCAGTCTATCTAAAAATAACACTTTTTTTTAGTAAAGATAAAGAAAACTTTAAAGTTGAGAAAACTATATTTTGAAACTCCAGGGAGTCGATGTTAAATAATTCACGTTTCTAGCATGTACGATAGTGAACCCTTCAAAAATAAATCAATAAGAAAAATGAAATGAAATTCAAATACAAAGTGATATCGGAAAGTTTCTGAATGGCACCAGATTTGATAATAGTGCAAATAAAATGCGACCACAGTTAACACTCGTTAGTACACAGCCTACTAAGTCAGTGTGCCAATAGTCTTTGTGCTATTTACTCGGGTGCTATTACTATGCAGGATTTTCTAATGATGTATGGGAACGGCTCTGTGACCTTTACGATAGCTAAATGATTTGAACAACGTACCTGTATCACATTTTGCGTGAACATCAATAGATCTATTACTGTGACCAATGAAATTATTCGTTATGCTTTCGACGAACATTCTTTAAGAGGAACGAAGGATCTTGTGTGGTGTGCGAGTTTCGACCTTGGTCGTGTGCCGGCTTAAGTTGATGAGCGTTCAGGGTGATCAATCACCAGCAAAAGACGAGAAAATATGACACCCTACAAAAAAAAAAAAAAAAAAAAAATCTGTGAACTCATCCACAACAACGGTTACCAAAGAATCCATCAAGCTGGTCGAATGTTAGTTCAAGATGATGAGCGTCCAGGGTGATCAGTCATCAGCAGAACACCAGAAAATCGGGCAAAAGATCCTTGAACTTATCCTTAAGTAGCATCGATTTCATTTGATTCGTATTAGTTACGGGGTGTGTCAAGAGATGGCTGTAAATATCATTTATTCATAGACATTTACGACTTTCTCTAGTTCCCAAACTGCATGATTTTAAACTTACTACTAGGTTGGCATCTCAGTTTCACCCTTTCACTGTCGAAACAGTTAAATGTAACCTTCTCTTTTACTCCAATAGCTTCATGTCTCGCACTTCCGGTCTGTGGAACTCCCTTCCTCTTACTTCCTTCCCTGATAGCTATAATCTTCAAATATTTAAATGCAATGTCAATCGACATCTCCAGACGCTTTGATCTATTCCCCGTCCTTCTTTTCATCCTTTCCTCTATCACGCCTCTTTACTCTTGCTCCCACTCTCTGTAACCCCTTGCGTGCTAATGATACTTCTACCTTGCTTTGGATGAAAGGCTTAAAAAAAACAACAACTTTAGAACATACAGATTTTACAAACATTAGAACGGATTGTATAAAAAGGAAGCTGTGTGTGGACTGTTTATAATTTTGAAGGTTTACATAGTAAATACAGTGAAGCGTAATGGATACTAGAATGGAACTCGAAGTCGGCGATCGGAGTTCGAATTTCAGCTGTAGCTGCTTATGTTAGCTTTTCTCTTGAATCCACTTTTCTTTGTATTCTCTTCCACCGCTAGTCGACTGAAGTTGTTTATTTTCACTTAGCACTAATGCTAAGTGGATTTATGACTCTAAAGTCATAAATCCACTTTTCCCTGCACTTTATACCATTGAAAGCTGACTGAGACTGTTTATCTTCCGTTAAAATGCTAATGCTTTCAAATGCTTTCTCCCTGTCTTTTACCCCATTGCTAGTTGACCGAGGTTCTCTGTACACACTAGAACTAATGCTCCTCAGAAAAGTAATTCAGCTTCTCCCTGTTTTCCAAACCTCTGCTAATTGACTGAGGCAATTTGTCTTTAAATCTAATGGTAATATTAGCCATTTCCTTATAAGGAAACATTCGGCATTCATTGATCGAGAAGCTAGGATTGCTATCGATTGAAATTTATCTTGCTCTTAAAACAATTTTTTCAGGAAAATTATCACTCTTTCCAATATTGATGAGGGTTTCCATCCTAACCTTTCGTTTGAAGTTCTGTGGAAAATCAACATTTTGATTATATCATTTATTTCCTCGTCCAGGTACGTGTATTTTAGGTGTTGTTGAAAATTCTCAAGTGCTGTGGTTTCTCTTATTTGATAGTTCTTTGTTTGTGGTTTTGTCGCGCCACTTCTACGAGGTTCAATGAATGACAGTCGTCTTTAAGATCTACAGTGTTCATTTGCTCGAAAAATCAAAAAGCATTCTTACTTTTTTGTGAATGATATTCAGAAAATGTCGATAAATTTTAGGTTTATAGGAAAAACTAAGTAATTTCCAACATTTCTTCATCTTGGAAATGACGACATTTTCAAAAACCTTTCGTGATATGTAGAACAACCTGCATCGTCACATCAAAATCTCCCCCCTCTCTACTTTTGAAAAAAAAACTAAAAAAATAAAACAGATGTGGCAGTTCCGACCCAAAAAGCCAAAATTAAAAACATGTGTCGTCTTTTACGTGTTCCATATCAGTAAGCATTTAATTTCTGGAGCGTGTAGTTTTCAATCCACCCAGCCACCATATCTGAAACTCTCTTGAGAGGGACACACCCGACCCCAACTCTATGGCCGCTGAATATTTGAGTCGGTGAGTGGGTGTGTGGAAATTTGAAATTCCTAACTTCTTTTTTACTTCACCCGATTTTTTTTTTTTTTTTTGGTTCGGTGGGATACAGAAAGTAAAAAAGTACGACCCGTACTCAATGTATAATTTCTTTTTTGGTTTTGGTCTACTGTTATATATATATATATATATATATATATATATATATATATATATATATATATATATATATATATATATATATATATATATATATATATATATATATATATATATATTTTTATATATATTTTTTATTTTTTTTTATTGCGTTTTATTTTCCATTACCAAAAGCCTTATTATATTACTAACCTATTATGGCCAAGTTATTTCCATAACGTTATTTCGTTAAATTTCAGGAGGTTAAAAAATAAAATAAAAAAGAGGGCAGATTTAATTACATCCTTCATGCAAATTATATAAACAAAAAAAAAAAAAAAAAAAAGAAAAAAAAGATCCGAGGCTAATGTGGGGTATATAGATACGGATTTATCAGCGGTCGGTGTTCGAATCCAAGTGATGCTTAATTAATGGTTTTCAAAGATATGACTCACCCCAGTAAGATGTTAGATGATTGGCGCAACACAAACTTCCTATTTCCATTTCTCGAACATATGCGGTAATAATCTAAGCTTAGTAAATATACAGAGACATCGCATGGTTGATATAGTGCATCTTTCTTATTGGCAACGGTGGTTTGGGTTCTAAACGAAGTGAAAGCTAAGATTTCAAATACTGATTTTCAAGGCAGATTTTTTTTTTATTTAACTGATTTGTTTTCTACAGCTTATCAACCATTTGCAGGTTATTTAAAGCCAGAAAATATTTTTAGATTGTAAGAGTATTTTTTTTAGATAATAATGGTTTAATGATAAAAGTCTTACTAATTAACCCATAGCTGGGGAGAAGAGGTGGATTCATATCTTTCCCAAGGGTATTTTGCGCGTAAGTGAATATAAAGAACCCAACTCGAATTAGAACTAGGCTCTTCGATTCACAATTACGAATCATTATCCATTACATCACAAGTACATCCAAGCTGTCACCCACCTTGTTACTGACCAAGCTCGACTTTGCTTAACTTCGGTGATTGTACGGGAACCGGTTTTGCAATGTGATATAGCCGTAAACCTGGACGTTAAGAAATCTTTGAATCTTTGTTGTTTTTTTTTCAAAAGTAGAATGTCAAAAGACATTCCGTTGCAATGAAGGCATCTTCGTTGCAACGGAATGTCTTTTGATTTATTATCAAGATGCTTGAAAAGGTGGTAGTCAGTGAGCGAGAGATTAGGGGAATAGGGTGGATGTGGTAAAGTCTCGTATCTCAAGTCGGTGAGCTTCTACTGTGTCATCCTGACAACATGTGGCAGTAAGTGAATATAATGGGGTGCAGGACGACTCATCACCGCCGACTCAACGCTGCCGACTTATCTTCATGACAACTCAACTCCATGACAATTCAACCATCAGTCTACTCAGCGGAGCGCTTACGACTTTACTTCTCCGTTTAATCATTTTCCCGTGGCTGAAACATCTGGAAATGATTCCAATATAACCCGAGGTGAATTTTCTAATACTTCACTTATTACTGAACATGGCTTTTCAACGGTGTCTTCGGCACGACGTTTCAAGTCTGTGTGCCCTCTGGCCACTTCTACATTGGCCGCTGGCGAATTGTGGGAATGCTTGTTTACTTCCTTAATAACTGCTCCAAATTTCGTATGAATCCTTGCATTGCATATAGAGCCTTGGTTACAGTATTTTCATATTGTTGTCTCTTTTACTAATCTTATAAAATACAAATAGTCTTCGTGTGTAATTTTTTCTATTCCTCTTTAACTAAGAATTTCCATTTTCGCTGTGATGAAAAGTTTGAAAATGGGCTGTTGTAAGTAATAAATCACTAAGACAAACAACCAAACTTTCAAAATCTCTACGACTCACGCTTTGAGTTGACTTCGCGTTGAGTAGGCCGGTGGTGTTGATTCGGCGGTGTTGAGTCGGCGGTGATGAAATGTCCCTTCTCGAATATAACTAACCCAACTAGAATTGGAACTCAGCTCTCTGATTAACAATTCCTAGCCATTATCCATTACACCACCAACACATCCAAGCTTACAGCACCTGGTATTCCCAAGCGGTCACGCATCCAGGTACTGACCAGTCACGGCGTTTCTTAACTTCGCTGATTGTGCGGGGAAACGGTCTTTCAATCACGGCAGACAGATATGTCATCGGTAACCTAATCTTCATCTGATCTTGTGTCGTACTAAGCTAAAGAAATTAACGTTGCTTGTAATTTTATACGACCCTTTTCATTCTTGTTTTTTTTTCTTTTCTTCTTCATTTTCTCATCATGATCTTGATGACAAATCTAACTTTATAATCAGAAAAAGAATAACAGAAACATTGTGTAACCATATGCGAGTTCAAAGGTTCACTGGAACTGTGAAAATAATAAGAGTCATAGAAAATGGTCGCTTCATTATAGCGCTCCAAATATCTGACTACTCTTGCTATACTCTATGTTGACAAAAGCAAGATCAAACCAAAAGTGGAGTATTGCTGTAATATATGGACTGGAGCTACACAATCCCCATTTGCCTGTTTTCGAGTTCAAAAGCGACTTGTGGGTAATGAATTATTTTTCACCTTACAACCTCTTCTCCACAATTACATTTAATGAATTTGCTATCTCAATTAAGTGCCATACATAATACACACTTGGGCGATCATGTTTCTTTCGATTCAAGACTGACTAGGGAGACGATTTTCCCGTAGTAGGTTGCCATTTTTGCGATAGACTGGTTGCCCACTAAAATCACAGGGCCCAGTCTGTCCTGCTATTTAACCCATGGTTGGGGAGAATAGAGGGATTCATTTTTTCCCAGTAGTATTTGTGCGTATGTAAATGTGACGAACTCGACTGGAATTTGAACTCGGCTCTCCGATTTCTTATTACGAGACCATATCTATTATGACACAATGCACATCCATTTGCTATTATCTGCTATCTCACTGGTCTTTTTGGGATAACTGATGAATCTTTAAGATGAGAAGTTTATTTGGGGCGTTCTACCTTGTCAGAAGACGAAAAGAAAAAAAAATTTTTGTTCTTCAAAAACCCCAAATTTTATTCTTCAACCTGACCGTAAATTGATTGTAAATATTTGTTTTTTTTTTCTTTATCAGCTTGACTTTCTAATCCCTCCTAGTAGAATGTGAAAAGGGTCTTTACCATAAAAAAAAATCTCATTTTTAGTGACGCCAATCTAACTAAAAGTCCAACATATTTGTTTCAAAAGGTTAGCTTTTTGAATCGTTCATCTAAATGTAAGCTACCCTGATTCTTTTAACTAATTTACACGCATTTTTCTCTTTTTCTGTAGATGCACTTGCCCCGACGACATGAATTTAAGCATGCTACTAGATTAGCAAGTAGGTCTCACCGTTTTACTGTTTAATGAGCTAGATGCAACCATGTGTTCTATTATAATAATTTCTTTTCTCTCATTTTTCGCCTGTGGAACTCTCTTGCGATTCCTTCCTTCCCTGCCACCTACAATTTTCAAAAATTTAAATTTAACTTCAATCGCCATCTTCTGTCTTCTTGAAATCTGTTCTTTTATTGTCCTTTCTCCTCACTAATGTCTTCTCATTCTCTTTCACTCTCAGTAACCTCTTGTATCCTAGTGGCATTATCGAATTGCTTGGGATGAAATGATAAAAAAAGAAAGACGAAACGTCACGAGCCTCTCTCTACGCTATCGGTATTTCCATGGCATATGTTCTGACCAGCTACATTCCTTGGTTTCACTAGCCCCGTTTCTTTTAGTTGGGACCCGCCATGCCATCCACAAAGATGAATTATCCTCATTCTCTTCGTATTCCACTAGTAAAAAGAAAGTTCCACTCGGACAGCTTCTTCTCAAGGACTGCTGCTTTGTGGAACAATCTCCTCAGGGGAAGTTTTCTCGATCTTGACCTCTTAAATTCTAAGGATAACCATTGTATTTCCTATATAACCTCATGAACCACACTTCTTGCCTTTTCTTCCTCTCATACAATACCACACACTAACCTTCTCCCTTGAGACTTGTATTTGATGAAAATGAGTAAAAAAGAAGAAGAAAATCAGAAACGGTAAAAGTAAACGGTAATACTTTTGATAGTATCAGACAGTCTAGACCAGAAGAAACATTACTCGGTCTTTGGGTTTAAACTATGGCGTAATATCTGTCCTACTCTTTAAACTATGGAGAAACCTGGTCCAAGGTGTTCCAACCCGGCGGCAGCACCTTCCTCATTGCACTGAAGAGGAAGGGTTGGGCGGGATAATGACGCCAGCGTGAAAGACGTCACAGCGACTAGGTGATTTTTGTTCTTGGCGCATATATATGTGTACGATCCCCATAGATTAAATCGACATTGTGACTTTAGAATACGGATGAAATAACGGCGATTCGACTCCGTGGATGTAGCATGTCGTGTCCCAGTTGTAATGGTCTGGATTGGTGGAATTAAAGAATGGAACTCATCTGAACATTCGCCATGGATATAGCGAGCGAGTAGCGATAGACTGGCCATGTTGGAAAGAGGTTGAAGAGTGGAGAGGATTTTGAACTCTATCAAGGTTGGAAATTGAGGATTGAGCAACTCCAGCGCAGGTAAAACAGCAATACCCAACTTTTGGTCTAATCTAACTCTTGTAAAGGGAAAACACAGCAGAACGATTCAGGTACTTCCTGAAGTGAAGGAATGAGCCGACCATTTCTCCAGCATCATTAGCAATAGATCGTATATATCTAGGTCTGGTGTGAGCTTGCAGACGCTCAGAGTATGAAGTTTTATTGACAACGCATCCGTTCACCGTGACAGCAGAAAATTCGGGGCCTGATCAGTGATTATGAAACGATACTAGCTTAGTTATTGAGGCATTGAAAATTGCAAGACAGTTTCCCCCATCAGCTGCCGGGTTCCGACCATTTTGATTTTTGGAAGTGCGCCCATAAACCCTGGTATCATCTTCTTATTAACGATCTGAGTTATCAACTAAGCCTTGTCCTGTGGTAGCACTTGCCTCATTCCTCAAAAGAAGATACCAAGGGTAATGTGAGACTGGTTGCAAGGAGTGGGCAATTTTTGTATATATGTATAGCACCAACATTGTATTACATCCTACCACCGTGGAGAGGGGGCACCTCGGCGTGGTGTAATGGTTATCAAGCTTGTCTTGCTAGATCAGTTACTACTGAAAAGTGAGTTCGATCCTTACTGGATGCCCCATACTTTCGGCCTTGTGACACATCTAAGCTACGCTTGGAAAATCTCTACCACCGTGGAGATGTGAACCATTACATTTACCCAGTCATCAAGTCGGGATCAAACCTGTTTTCCCCTCTCTTATCCGTGTGTTTTTGGGTAGTTCGTGTTTTTGTAATGAGGGAGGACTGATTCCGGAGATTCCAACTGATTTCCGCTTCATTGCATCTAAGAGAGAGGGTTGGTGGATACCAACGCCAACATGACAGTGGTCGTAGGAACTGGGCAATTTTTGTACCTGGTCAATATTTGCATGTATGGATACGTGTCACATCCTACAACCGTGGGAGTAAGTAATGAAAAAACAACAAGAAAACATTAAAAGCAGACGTGAAACTGGAAAAGAATAGAGAGCTTCGGAAATTATCCAATACTAACGATCGTACTTAGAATCATTGAAGCACTGGAAACGATTAGTGATTAGAATATTGGGTAAAGACCAGAAGATGTCGAAAGTGTGACACTGTAGAGGTCAACGTGAATACAGAGGAAAACGCCAGAGATTTAGTTGTTAGCCAAGCAGAGTTTTAGCAGATAACCGCGGATGTGAGTCAGTGAGAATCGAACTCATTACAGGGAAGTACTAGTCTACGAGACCAACCTACTAACCATTAAACCACACCAAGCGGTCGAAATAAAGAAACTTGCTTTTATTTGTTTCTTAGGGATTAAATGTTTTACACAGACTTTCATTACAGTGAGTGTTATCTTTGTCAATGAAAATGTTTGGTCTGGAGAATTTTCTTACATTTTCGAAAGGAAGCTAATTGTCGCACAGGGAAGTTGAGTCATTGGAGATGATAACTTGAATCCTGGTTTCGGAAATGGCAGGGAAAAATGTAATGAGAAAATTGATTTTTATTTATAAAAAAAAGTATTTCATTGCAGTCATTTTTCTGCTTATAGATGTCCAGACTAAAAAGGCCATATACGATAAAAACGTATAATAGAGCTTCATTGGTCCCTGAAGATGAATATTTGTCTATTTGCCAATGTTTTCATTGTGACTTGTCCAAAGAAAAAAAAAATGAGTGAGTACTAATTTCTATTTTTCACTACTGTAGAAATATCGAGAAATATTCATTGGGTTTTAAAAATTGTCGGAAGAGTTTATTTTTATGAAACGCTGTAATTTTTAGGTAAGACTTTTAATATCAGAAGAGATAATCCTGATAAATCCAAATCGTTGGTATTCGAAACTTTACTCTGATTTTTTTAATTTATAAAAAAGAAAGAAAGAATCAAATTGAGACATTAATAATCATATCCAATAATTCGGGAGACGAACAAACCTAATTCGGGGTTGTTTCACGAATAAAATCTTTATCTAAACCCTTAATATAATTATATTCATATACGATCTCCGTGGTTTGTTTACGTTTTGCTACAAAATTTTAAAAGCATCATTCTAAGAGCTTTCTTTAAATAAAGTTGGGTCATATGGAATTCTAGGACCCCCAATGAAATATATCGAATATATTGCTGGGATCCGTCTACCCAGCTTTGTTGCTATCTGAGTGTCGGATTTCCAAATATTTAACAACACCAACAACAACAACACCACCAACAACACATCTTTTAAATAAAACATGAAAAAGGTTATTTTCTGAAGGAAATGTATAAGCAGAACGTCTGTTGAAATAAGATTTTTATCTATTCTTTTCAGAAATATACAAATGTTCAATTTTCCTTGCAGTGAAGTTTGTTTTATAAAGTAGTTAAGCGTTCGTGGGGCTGTGTGACGAGTGTGGGTAGACTTACTTTATGACAATTAGTCTAATGTGCATGTGACTTCGTAGACAAAATGCTTAGTCGACGGTTGCTGGTTAATCTAATCTGTTGTGTGTGTGTGTGTGTTGTGTATACGCACGTGTTGATCAAACTGGCCTCCCAAATT